AATGTACAATTACCCACTACAAAAAAATTATAGAAATACGCACATGAAACACTAAACCACAGAAATATTAAAAACAAACTTCTTTGCATTAGACGTTTTGTAGACATTATTCGCATCGCACGTGCCACCCGACGAGAAATACCTCTTTGAGAATGACATGGCGTGATGTTTAATTTGATAATGTACTATGAGTTCGTATGCGCTGTCGAAGTTTGCTTTTTGCAATGGTTCATCTGTTATTTTTTGTTTTAAACATTTTATTTCTTTGTAAAACTATTGTATTGCCAAGACCGAACCATTACTTCGGGACAAAAACGAAATACATTTCACGGTGTATGCTATAAAACTTCACGCTACGAAGAGTTTTTTTTAAGGGGGGAAAATCATTAATGACTACTCCCGCCTGGGTGAGGCGGAAGGGAGTGTCAGACTCTTACTGACTAAAAACCACCCCGTTCCTTCTCCTGCACGTCGAGCCGGAGCCCCGGTTACCCGTTAGGTTCTCCGCGACACGCTGCGAAGAGTAGGAACCGAGCAGAGCAGGTATAACCGCGCGGGAATGGCTAGTATTTAGATAAATATTTGCATTCGTTCTGCGACGAGCCCTGGGGTGTGCGCGGGGGTGTGCATGCATTGGCGTGCTCCTCGCCGCCAAGCCGGCGCCAGTGTCGGCGCCGAGCTGTCTCGTTCCCGAACGCCCCGTCATACACTGTTGCCATTCTTCTTTCTGTTCTTCTTTCAATCTGCCATTATCTCAATAAGAATGGCAACAGTGCATGACGGGGCGGCGACCGCGTTTTGCGAATTGAATGAATTCGTAGCAGTGCGGCAATACGGGATGGTTTTATGGCATTAAATCAATACAAATTAATACGTAGATTTTTTGTATGTAAAAATAAATAACTCATACTTAATAATTTATACCTACTATTATAATCTTCAAACTCAACACTACCTCCCATTAAAACCGTGGCAGATAATTATATAGCTCCTTATATAAATAAATAAAAAATAAGACTGCCTCGTAGGCCGAGTGGTCGCAAGTGCGACTGCCGGGCAAGGGGTTCGATTCCCGGGTAGAGCAAAGTACTACTGGGTTTTTAAAAAATTCTTAGTAGTAGCACGGAGTCTAGAATTGTGTCCGGTTTATGTCAATAGGCTCACCCCCTATTACATGGGACTCATAACATAAATAGTGAAAAGTGGGTGTTACATTGTACAGTGGCATTAAGTGCCATAGTGTGCGCCTACCCCTTCGGGGATAAAAGGCGTGATGTTATGTAGACATTCGTTTTTATTAAATCACATTCCAACTATATTGTTGTTGTCATTGCGTTCAAAGACAGTTTATGAATAACTTTATAGATGGCGCTATAAACCAACAATATGTCGACGCGAAACATGGCCGACTAACTTTATTTTATTACTCAATAATAATATAATATTTTACTGACATTACGTAACATGGGCCTCCCCCAATGTCATTCATATCGGCTGGTTGAAACTACGGCCTATCCTTAGTTTTACTTCACGCCGTAACTACTAGACCGATTGCTTTGAAATTTTGCAGACGTAAAGTTAGAAGTCTGGATTAAATAATAGGGTACTTTTTACACCGGAAAAAAATTATATTTCCTAGGAAAAACAAAAATATTGGTATAGATGGCGCTGTATGTATTGGTATAGATGGCGCTGTATGTATTGGTATAGATGGCGTTGTATGTCATAGCAGTCAACGAATTACCTACTTATTGGAAAAATCTAAATAGCGCGATATAACCGAATTCCACGCGAGCGGAAAGCTATTTGTTTGTTTGCCTGTTTTAAACGACAGAACGGAGATACTGATTAACGTGATTTTTTAACTGAAGGTAGTTGAACGGATGGATAGTCACATAGGCTACTTTTTATTCTTTGGTGATGCGAGCGAAGCCGCGGGTAAAAGCTAGTACATGTAATAAAACTATAGAAGTGTAAATTCTGTACATTGAAAATATTACAAAAATAAATAGTGGGGGTGTTACTAGATAGACGGCGAAACCAAGAAGGTGATTAAAAAGAAAATTGTCTGCCTGTCTGTATGTTCACGCATCACGCAACAACTACCAGTCCGTTTACGATGAAACTTGATAATGATTATACTTTAATATCCACACTAAAAAACAAACTTAATTGTGCGGCTCAATCCTTAGACACAGTTACTGTACCAAACGCAAATATAAGTTTGTCGAATGTTAGGCTGCCCGCTGTGGACTTTACGCTGTAACTGTAGTGCCGATGGTTGAAATTAGCTTGTAAACAATAAAACTCACGTATTCATAGTTTGTACAAGATTTTAATTCACTTGCAATATTTTATGTATGTATGTACGTGTGTGTGTGCGTGTGTGAAGTGGAATCTTGCAAATATATTGTGAAGCAGATATCTTCAACCGATTGAGCTGACATTTTGTATACACGTTTAGTTTGCATGACCATAAATGCTTGGCTTGAAGACTTGGCGCAAGATTTAGGTATACCTGAGTAACTCGTAGTTAAACGGTTGTATTTAGTCTGACCCGTTTGTTTGTTTGTTTAGTTCAATTTCTTTTATACAAGGTGTAGTTTTGAAACCGTGTCATATCTCGGGGGCATGTCACAGAAGTCATAAAGGTTCAATGTAAGAGAAAATTTCGGGCCCATAGTAAAAAATACAGCTATAATAAATCGTTTAAGTTCGACAGTATTTCAGAATAAGCGACTGAAATGTTTCTTATTGGAGTTTTATGGAATTAGGAATAATATCAATTACGTGTTTGAGCTTTTGTGTTAAGCCGCGTTACAAAGCTAGTTACAAAACGGCGGCTTGAAGTTCGCACTTACGGATTTCCATAATTTACAGAAAAATGAAAAATATTTACCTACATTTTTTTTATTGATTCGGACTCAGAATCGATATCCGAGTTACCTCCTAGAAAATGACGCGGCTTTAAAACAACACCTTGTATATTTGATTGGGCGATGTTTGTCCAATATCTCGCCTGGTGGTAAGCGATGATGCGGCCTACGATGGAGCATGTCGTTCCATAAGCAACCTATTCACTCGTACCTTGAAGACAATTCAGGAAACACAGACTCTGGCAAAGATTCCAACTCCTTAACAGTTCGCACAAGGAAGCGTGAAGCGATTTTAAATTTCCCCCATCCTGACGACAGATCGATCTGATATTTGGTACACACTCTTAACCATGATGACAATACAATTTAAGCTATTTTTTTCTACAACTACCTCCATTACGGATATCCAACGAAAGGACTTGATTGGTAGAATAGAGGTCATTAAACACATTTAACATAAAAAATATTATGATTTGAATTTAGGTCATATTTTGGGACTTTATCATTTAATTTGACGTTGTTACTGTTATCCACCCTGACGTTCATGGATAGTACGGTATCCAAAAAAAAAGATTTGCAGATTAAGGTTCAAAATACTTGGACGTTCAGTGCTTCTCGAAGCATCATCATGTTCTATATGAGACGAGTTTTTTGAGTGACGACAATCAATCAATGACTTCTCACGCCTTGGGTAAGGCGTGAGGGAATGTCTGATTCTTACTGACTAAACGTCACCCCGTTCCTACTCCTGCATCGAGCCGGAGTAACCAGCTAGAAGTCACAGGTTCTTGCGTTACTGGTTCCGTTGCTTTGTAGTCTCTGCGGTTCTCAATACAAAGTCCTCGTGTGTTGTTGATGTTTTTCCTCATATCCCACTTTTGAGGGCAAGTTAACATTTTGCAATTGTGCCCGGTATACGGCAATAGGTTCACCCCCCCCCTTACATGGGCCTCATAACATAATAGTGATAAGTGATAAGTGCGTGTTACATTCTACAGTGGTATTAAGTACCGTAATGTGCACCCCTGCCTACCCCTTCGGAGATAAAAAGGCGTGATATTATGTTATGTTAAGATCAGTAAGTGGCCACTGCTGACCAACAGCCTCATCTCGCACGAAGGTTTGAGCATTAATCATCGCTTGCTTGTTGCAGGTCGGCAATTCAAAGTTAATAAGAAATTATACCTCTAAGCCCAGGTTTCCTCACGATGTTTTCCTTCACCGTTTGTCAGTGGTAATTTTAGTAAGTACATATAACTCGGAAAATGTCACATTGTTACTTGCTGTTGGTAAGTTTCGGATGCGCACCCTCATTCATTAGAAGCGGGCGTTTTAAAATAAGAAATGTAGAAGATGTCCGCAAAATACATAGTCGTCGAGATGATGCCGAAGTTCTTGCTGTATTATTGTTTAGGAGTAGTTAGGAGTTCCGACTGGTAGTTAAAGAATTTATTAAATTTATTAGTTGTAGTGATATTAGCTGTGTGTGCTTCGTTCACTTTGACAAACGATGAGTAATGTTCTTTAATCTATATTATTGTTGTCAAAAAGTGTAAATTAACAAATTTTAAGAAATAAATTCAATAAACAATGTAGAATTAAAAATTTAGACAATAAATACGGAATATAGTGAACAGCAGAACACAAGCGCAAACTTTCATTTTAATATAAAAATACTAACATTTTGTTGTATCATAAAACTAGTTACACATTGCGCGAGCAACTATTTTTATATTTGTAATCCAATAAAATTATTACAACTATTTTATTGACGATAAACATTGGAATTGTTACTGTTTTTTAACAAGCTAACAATCATCAACTGTACATAATTTAAAACCAATCTTCTTTTGAAATAACGAATTTTAAACCACAGTCACTTGCAACAGCGAAGTGTTGCCAAACTTATAAAAAATATTTCGAAACAGTAGTTTTTATTAAATAAACAAAATATAAAAGTTCAATCGACTCGAAAAATAAAATTTTACTTCGTTTCAATAAAATAAAAAAGCAATTGTCAGTCGTTATGTTTAAAATAAAGACATAAAATGGCGACTACTTTTATACCAGATACTTTATTTTTACCTTTTGTTTCATAATTAACGTAACAGTGGATAATTCGCTATGAAAGTAATATTAATAACTTTGTTTCTAAATTATGAATTGTTCGTCTGTAAAACTGTCCATAAGGGTAAGCATTTAATTCTATTTAATATTTAGACTAAAATATAAAAAGTTAATTGAATTCCCGGGTGGGTGTCATATACCCGACAAATGACTACACATTTCACAGCGGCCGGGCATCAGCGCTCCCTGATAAATCTGAACCTCAAGCCTGATCACGCCAATAACCATGGTATGATCGTCAAACCTTCAAAAAAGTGCATAATATTCCTTCTTAAAAGGCCGTCAACGTGTTGTAACTCCTCTAATGTTGCCTGTCTAGTACCGTCTGCTCAATTACCCCGTATTTAATAAAAACCCACAGGAGGAGCAGCGGTAGTGACCAATAGTATTATGTTCAGCACACGGCTACATTATACATACTAGCTTCTGCCAGCGGCTTCACTCGCGGTAGCGTGGGATAAAAAGTACCCTATGTGTTGTTCCAAACCATAATCTGCCCCTGCTCCAAATTTCATTCTGATCTCTTCAGCTGTTTTGACGCGATTGAGTAACAAACACACACATGTATAATATAAGTAAGGTCACTTCCCTCGCAGTACACAAACAGACACAAGGAACGAACTTCCACGTCCGAGGCCAACCACAATTTAAGAAAGGACACAAAGTCTTCAGAACAGAAGATAAGGTACTCTATCGTCGGAGAGACTTTCCCGAATATGACGTCACAGGAGTATTCTGGGGAGGCCAAACAGATTTAGAGAGAATGCCAAAACCATACACAACATCTACATTCCTACCACCACCAGAGCGAGAGGAACCGGTACTCACGCTCGCTCCAACTCCAGGAGAAGATGAAGAGCCTATAACGATGCCTCCAACTTCAGGAGAAGATGAAGAGCCTATAACGATGCCTCCAACTCCGGAACATGAATTAGAGTCTCCAGAACAAATAGATGATAATACTTGGCCTTATTTGAGACCACCGAGTACAGAACCGACCGACACTGTGTACACGAACTACCCTGGTTACCCATACGAACCTCCTCCTTTCTTGGACTCAGTTATAAAAGACCGTGATAAAGATAATTATATAAAGTTAACACCTCAACCTACACAGAGTTACCAGCGACCTCCTGACGTCATCTACGATTATACAAACACAGAACCAGGCCCCACCAATGATGGGATCACAAATCACACATATTATGTTTCAATTCCGTTAAATACAAACAAACCAAGTGAATATACCATTAACCTTGAAGCGTTTCCTTCTTCAGTACCAGCGTTACCACCAGACATTGATAGCATGTACACTCTTAAACCTGAGCCAAATATTGTCACTTGGTCGACACCTACAACTACAACTTCAACTTCAACTCCAAGCACTACCATAAAACCGCTTTGGAAAGTTGTTCAACGCAATGTCGGAAGATCTAATTTGAATTCTAATGTGACTATATCAGAAAAAGATAAGTCACATGTTAAGAAATGGTTCAGTAAAGTAACCGCGGGAACTCCTGTTCAGAAGTGGTTTTCGTCCTGGGTCGGACTTACTACTGGTCAGTATCAAAGTGTACGCCTTTTTATTGTTCTTTTTCACCGCCCGTAAACGAGCAGACGAATCACGTGATGGTAAGTAATTGGCGCCGTCCATGGACACCCGATACACCGGTATGGAGTTGTAAGTGCATTGCTGGCCTACTGGGCCACATCTGTGGTGGTCTGGTGGCCGTTTGAAGCGCGCGTGGAAAGTGATGTGCCGTACCCTTGGGTCTGCTTCTGGTCGGTCAGCAAGCTACCCTTGCTCGTGGTCCGCAGACTTGTGATTCCACTGACGAAGCAATAAAAGATGCAGTTTCTAATAATCATATTATTATATATTTAACAGGGCTACAGATGAGTACATTGTCCAAAACGCAAATATGGCTTCAAAAAATGAAGGATTTAGGTATTCCTGTACACAGAGACGATCCTGTGGACTACAAATTGTCCACTACCACGAGAGCAACGGCAAGGTACATTTTTATCATTTACAATTTTATAGGATAGGCTAGCAAACGAGACACGAATCACCTGATGGTAAGCAATCAGCGCCATCCATGGACACCCACGAGGTGTTACAAGAGCGTTGCCGGCCTTTTGCTGGTTATGAATTTGAAAATTGAGGATTTAGGGATTAGGAAGGGAAGAATTATTGACCCTCCAGTAACCTCACTTACAGGGTGAAGAACAACGCATGCGTTGTTTCATGATATTTTTCTGTTAGGCCTTGGTATCACTCCGATCGAGCCGGCCCACTTGTGCTGCAGCGTGGCACTACTCCCACACTTTGAATTAATTTAAGAATCAGTCGAGTCCCTATTGCTCTGCATCTGTTTTTCAAACCTTCAATTGTTTTTTTAAGCTTTATACTAAAAACGGACAGTCATGATATATTGAGAAAAACACCCGAGTACAATCCATTGACGAGCACCACTATACCTACTGGATCACCAGGCACTCCGGGGAACGTATTATATAAAGGTTTGTATCGCATGTCAAACTATCACAAGCTGCATAGCATCGTCATCATCATATCATCCACTGTTCAATATTACTGGCCTCCCTCAGTGACATCCAAATCGGTTGGAAGCGATCTGTATCCAGAGGCTTTCTGCAACTCTTATTAGGTCCTCTGTCCAGCTTCAGCTTGTAGGTGGATGTCCTGCGTTGCGCTTGCCGGTACGTGGACTCCACTCTAGAACCTTTCTGCCCCAGCGGCCGTCGGTTCTCTGAGCTATGGGCCCTGCCCAGTGTGAAGTGTTCAGTTTCAGTAAACTCACAACCATAAGATATTCTTCTGACACTTATCTTCATTATCCAACCAATGACAGTCCACTGCTGGACTATGACCCTCCTCTACATAAGAGGGTTTGTCTTAATCTCCGTAGGCAGGCGGGTTGGAGACCGCTGTATAAAATGTTCAGGTTTATCAAAGAGTGTTGCGGCCATCTTGCTAATATTATATGTATGTTTGGGGATCGGGATAAAATTTAGAAAAGGAGTAGATTATAGTCAGGGATAACACATAGGCTTCTTTTTATCCCACGGTAGCGCGAGCGGAGCCGCTGGCAGAAGCTAGTCTTTAATTATATCTAAGTTTTTCAGATATTGTAACCTTCGCCACTCCAGCTCTATCATTAAGACAAGTCTACTTCAAGATGATGGAGGACAGCAACGAAGGATTTCTAACCATCTTTCTACAGGAAATATTCAGGATCACATCCGAGAAAGATAAGAGACTTGTGAAAGAACTGTTAATGGAAGTGGAACCTCACATAAATACGTTCGTATTCATTGTCACCATCACCATCATTTATGCATACATGCCAGATGACTGAACTAACGAAACAATACAACTAAGAATTGTATTGTGAACCTAATTGAAAAAGAGTAATCTATAGAGTTTCTTGATCGTTGTTCTACATAGGAATCTACACCTTAGAACGAGCAAATAGAGCATGTTATTAAACGTTTGTCAAGTGCCTATTTCATCTGATTTCAAAATAACTGATTTTCTATTTTTACTTTTGTCAAATACTCTCGAGCTAGATGAACTGAACTAAACTGATTATTATTCACAGTTGGTACGACACTGATCGACTGAAGTGGTTCGGACAACCCCTGGCTGACACCATCGTGAAGCTTTCCCGGTTCCTCAGCGTATCAGAGATCGATAACATTAGAAGTAAGTAAAGGTTTTAAGAAGTAGAGGCCAGTACCGAATCAGAAAAGGGGAGATCCGCAAACCAATTAAAGTCTATGTTATAACTTTGGCGAGACATACTAAATTAATTATTATGTTTTTCGACTTACTCGCGTAATTATTTGACGAGGTAACAGACTAGATTCAAGCCATGCTAGGGGATTCATATTGTAGTAGCGCGACAGTCGCCGCAACACGGGTCGCGGAATGCTGCTCATATTCATGAGCTGTCCGACAGTCGCTGGTGAAGGACCACGGCTCCAGACTAGTGCTCTCAGTAGTTCACTCGAAACTCGTAGAGCTATTCTCAGTTTCTTTACGTGAGTAATCCCTAAAGTTTAGTTAATTCGGCATGTCTCACGATAGTTATTATGAAAACAGTGGACGTCTTGTGGCTGGTGATGGAGATACATTTGAAAGAAATGAAGTACTCTTGTTGTTCTAACCGAAGTAAATGATGACCTGCTGCTTTACTCCCGCCAGGCTACTCATCAATGCTGTATCATATGCTGCAAACCAGGAAGACTGCTGTAGCAGTTGATTTAAACTCCATTATAGAATATGCTGATCTGCTGTACACTGATGGCGAGGGATGGGAACTCTTCGATGCCATTATGGAGTATGAACAATATCCTAATGGTAAGTTTGACATTTATTTGTACAGGGTTGTGAACCATTTATTTGAATAGACCAGATGACGTCAAGACGATCAGACGGTACAGCATCCAGCTAAGTGAAGTGACGATATCGGCTGCAGAGCCTCACAGCCGATATCGTTGTTTCACTAGCCAGTATGGATGCGGAGAATTGAAAATTGAGCTCAATGCCGGGATATTGGAGTGGGCTATGTCCAGCAGTGGGCGAAAACGAGCCGAAGATAATGTTTTTTTTTACCATTGACTCCTGCCTGAGAGCGAGTGTCTGATTCTTACTGACTAATCATCACCACGTTCCTACTCCTGCTTCTCCTGTTTAGTTGTCCGTGGCTCTGGGTCGGTTGGTGATGACTTGCCATTCCGTAAATTAAGAATGTATGAAACATTGTTTTCGACCTAATGTAAGGAATCATTAATGAATTTCAGGTACAAGAAACGCAAAACAGCTTTGTGAATTTATATTCGACTGTTTTATGAGACCGTACAGAAGACTCAGCCATTTAGAGCGCGGTCAAACGCTATTCAACTCTATCAATACCGCCTTAAAGAATAAATTCCTTACACGAAGACTTAATGGAATACTTTTTAGAATTGAACGTAAGTTTACTCATAATATAGAAACATTCACATCTGTGTCCCATGGTGGTAACAGAAACTACAAAAATTCATCTTCTTCGATACTTACATACTTCTTTAGCTCTGCAATAAACAGTTGTAATAAAACTATAAACGTACAATGCAAGATAAAATTACATTCCACAGCACGAACAACAACAAATGGAATAAAATCGAAATATCTCCAAGAAGTATACAAACGCAGCAGACGAAACAGAAAAAAAACGAATGAGAAGAAAGAAGTAGCTGATGATGTCATAAATCATTTCTCTTCTCGATCCAATAGCATAAAATTTGCAAAAACTACAAAAAAGTATACTAAAGTAAAAACTCCGGTCATCAACAACTATTACATTTTAACAGCAACTAAAACTAATAATAAAGCTGTGAGATATAAAGTCAATTATAATAGAATTAAAGAAACGACAATAAATTACAAAAATCTACTATTTGGTAATATTTTCGATGATCAGAAAGAAAGCATTTTGTATGCAGATAGTCGTTTGGACAGAAATCCATATTTCAATGACTTTGATGATGTTAAACATGACACTGCATCAAATAAATATCTTACAACTAATCGTAAAGAAATGCACAGAAATACGGAAGAAGAGAGAAATTCTGAATTAGAAGAGAACCACTCAAAGTCGAAGTCGAAGTCATTTATTTCAGTGAGACCAAGAAGGCAATTTTGAATGTCAAATAAGATACTAAGTATCAGTCTGTCGGTCTGTTCTCTAGTTGCTGTATTTGTTCGATCCAAGGTATAGCTATAGAGAACGAGTAAGAAACTCCATGGTTACTCTTTTTCAATCAGACTGACAGTACTCAGGACTTTGAGGAAATAAAACCAAAAATAACAATACACATAGTTTTATTTAAAAAATACTCAATGATAATTAAAGGTTTTATAATAAGTATCGTGAGATATATGCGCATTAACTAAATATTACGAGTTACTCGCATGAGCATACTGAGAAAAGTTCTACTAGTTTCGAGTCAATGAGAGACTTTTCCTCATGAGCATCGTGCGCGGTCGCGGCGACGTCGCGCAGCTACTAGGAAAGCTTGTTTCAGTCTATTCATTCGTAGTAGGAACTCGTAATTTTGAAATAAAGAAAGTTTGTATAAAATTGTAGATGCCCAGTGGTCGCAAGAGTGACTACCGGGTCTCGGGTTCGATTCCCGGGACGGGCAAAGTACTTTTTTTAATTCTCAGTAGTAGCACGGAGTCTGGATTTGTGCCCATGGCAATATGCTCACCCCCTATTACATGGGACTCATAACATAAATAGTAAAAAGTGGGTGTTACATTGTAACATAACATAACATCACGCCTTTGTTATCCTCAAAGGGGTAGGCAGAGTTGCACATTTCGGCACTTAATGCCACTGTAGAATGTAACACCCACTTTTCACTATTTATGTTGTCAGTGCCATGTATGGTATGGTACCGGGTACAGGGGTGAGCCTATTGCCATATACCGGGCACATTTCTAGACTCCGTGCTACTACTGACATTTTTAAAAACCCAGTAATACTTTGCCAACCCGGGAATCGAACCCGATACCCCTTGCCCGGCAGTCGCACTTGCGACCACTCGGCCAACGAGGCAGTCATGTTACATCGTACAGTGGCATAATGTGCACTTCAGCCTATTTCTTTAGCGACAAAAGGCCTGATTTTATGTTATGATGATTATAAATTATGGAGAGTATGTTGTCAAACGCTAGTCTTAATTCTAAACAATGTTTTAGTAATACGAATGTCGAAAAATCCATACCGAGACCTCTGCTACGAGTATTGTTACTCAGAAATAAATATTTTGTATGGAATAGAGCGGCAATCGAGAAGACGCCCATGGACACCTGAATCACCAGAGGCGTTACAAGTGCGTTACCGGCCTTTTGGGAATTGGGAATTTGAGGATTATGGAGGATTAGGGGTTCGGGAGACGGGGACTAGAGAGGGGGGTAATTGGGCCTCCGGTATCCTCACTCACACGACGAGCCATAACGCAAGCATTGTTTTACGTCAGTTTTCTGTTAGGACGGTGGTATCACTCCGGTCAAGCCAGCCCATTTGTCTATTGATCTGACTTTATGCTTTAATTGTGAATCATCAAGTCTTTCAGTTTCTCTTGCAGCTGCTATCTGTTTAGTTGTATTCTATCTCATTTGACTGTAAAAATACATGTTATTTCTCTAATAGCCATTCGCATTTCTGTCATGAACACTTTCAATATTGTGAACTAGGTCTCTGTACTTCAAATGCGTTCGAAATCGTACTGTCCATGGAGGAAAGGGAATCTAGTATTCGCTTGATTCGTAGCTATATTTAGTTTAGTTGTGAACTCCTTGGTGGGTCTACTGATTAGGTTTACTATATAACTACGTGTAGACCTGTGCCTTAACATGTGTCGATGTGTCGGAGTAACAATTTTGTACCGTCTCTGTATACTTGTGATCGGCTTCATATTTCTTAACAAAGGATAATTGTACTGAGTTTCAGGTGTATAACTTAATCTACGTCTATAAACATTTTCATTGCTGTAATTTGTCTGGACATTTGTGTGTTTTCGTTTGATAGTCGGATGTTTTGGTTTCGACTTCAGCTTTTGTAGTTTATGTGTCAATTTCTTTTGTTTTTTCCTTGTGAATGAGACTGTGGTGTCGCTGTGTGATTGTACTGACGGGGTTTGTTCAGTTGCTGTGGAAAAGAAGGCGGTTATGTCGTTAGTATTTTTTACACAATAAAGCCTACGGTTGTACTGATAGTAAGCGGACACCGTGGTCTAAGTACACCTGCAACAAGCAGCTGTTAAATATTTAAGAGACGTTTTAATATTTCGATATCATCTGTAATATACGTACCTTCTTTAATACCTAAAAATCCCAAACCACTCATCTTCCACAGGTCTGGTTGAAGTATTATAGCTCTTAGCTCAAAGTTAATAGAGTCTAACAATCGTTGACGTAGAACTGTATTATTGAGCCGATGGTACGGCTTTAGGAAGCTCTCTATTAATGCTAAACATACTGTATAGCCTGGACGTTTAGCTGGAATTTAAAAAAAAACAAAATCACAGCATTATTTCTTTGAATAGTTACATTCGCTACAATAAGTTCGAGGATCGACTAATAGATGGTGTTGTGTACAAAACCACGTTGCACACATACATACTGTTAGGATAGTCATCAAAATCTTTGAGCACATTGAATAGCTTCGTGCCTTCTTTATCATCATACAACATATCAGCATAGTCTATGATGGTATTGACTTCAGAAGATAGCTCTTGCTGACGTCCACTTATCTTTTTATTCAATTTCGAAGCGTATTCTGTAAGAATATCACTAAAATTAGCCTGGTACACTACGATTCACCCAGTTTTGATTTTTGTTATTTTTATCGAGTTAATAAAAAGAATTACGCTCGGATGATTATTTATTTATGAGATATGGTCCGAAGTGAGTGATTCAGTCCAAGTCAATATTAGTTACAGCTGTCACCGCGTCAAACTCTTTTTGTCAAGATGTTCTTACTTTGTATCACTCCCGTTTCAGATTCAGTCATGAATTTCGCCAGATTCATTGTAATATCTAAGAGAGGCTGACCGAACCAGTTAATTTTTCCATTTTTATGAAGTCTGAAATAGAAATGAATAAGGTTCAAATTTTATCAACTTTCAACTTGCATGTCAGATGGTATTATGTACCACTCACTGCAGCACGATCTGTTCGGTATGAACGAGGACTTCAAATAGGTCATCCTTGTCTTTAGAGGCCATAATTCTCATCAGCTCGATGAGGAACACCACCATGTACCCTTCATCCAGATCAACAATCATTTTGTAGTATGGCAGAATCGTGGTTGTAGATTGTGGCGTACCTGGATAACAGTTAAATTGAAGATTTAACATTGAACATATTAGATGTCAAAATTTACCGTAAAAGTATAGTGAATGAAAACATCGTGAGGAAACCTGAGCTAATTTCTAATCGCTTACCGCTAACGCGCATTAAGCAAGCATGGTGGTAAATGCTCATACCTTCTCCGTGTGAGGCTTTGATCAGCAGTGGCTGCTTATAGGCTGTTGATAGCTTTAGTGATAGGTTTAAACAGTCCGTAATCATAATTTTTGACATTCAGTAGTAGAAGAAAGTATTTAGATACTACTAACGTTTTATATTCACTTGTACTGATGTAGTTCCAGAGCTTGTTTCCGCTTCTTCATCAATTATATGTGTTGTAGGTTCTACTTCTCGTATATTCGTTGATTTCTTTATAAGTTTGTTAGCGTGTAGCCTTTTATGCTTTGTCGTATATTTTCCGCTTACTGTGATTCGATTCTTTGTAATTCTCTTGACATGTAATTTTCTATGCGTTGATGATTTGTGTTTTCTTAACGCTGAATGAGTAAATTTATTTACATGGGCTGTTGATTTTTTAACTAAATCATAATTGAATTTTATAGGTGCTGTAGTTTTTGTCTTCCTTTTTTTTCTTCTTGGTTTCGTTGTTGTAACATATTCATCTTCTGTCTCAGTTGACTGTTGTTTTTTTGTCTTTTGTCTCTCCATATTTAGTATATCACCAATTTTATCCAGTTGTGTATCGTCCATCCCGTCCATTATAAGAGTTTTATCACTATCATCACTGGATTCATTTGTTTTATCCTTACTTGGAGTAGTTTCTTCGCGTTCTTCAGCAGTTTCCTTCTCTTCTTCATGATCATCTGTTGAGCTATCTTCTGTTACATCTCTATCCTCTTCATTTTTACTTTCATCCGTTTCACTGTCATCTCGATCAGACGTCACTAGTTTATCAGGTAAAATAGTTACATCTATATCTTTTATGTTCATACTCTCTTTCAGTTCTCTTATCAGTTTCTCATTCTTGTCAGGTTCTGAATCTGAGTCTTTGATTGAAGTCTCTTGGGATGTCGCTGTGTTGTCGTTTGCTTTATTACTGTCTCGTTCTCTGAGTATATTGGGTCCGTTTGCTATGTCATCGACAGCCTGTCCTTTCTTTACATTCGTACTTAACGTGGCCATATATACGCGATAGTCATCGAGTATTTCGTCTCTAACTGATGACACGACTGGATCTAAAGTCGTTCGGCCGTATCTTTGTACATACTTCGGTTTAGCTCTGTCTTCCAGAGGTTGGTGGTCTTTCGTCAGAGTTTTATCAAATGGTAAAAATATTTCTGTTGTGGAATAGAGGTACTAATTAGTAATTAAGTTACTTGTAGTAAAATGTAACTGAGGTTTCCGATAGGCAAGTCATTGTAGCCGGAGTCGATCCGAATATTAATTTTAGGGACGTATTACTTTGACCATTTACAATGACATTATGATATACAATTGGGAGCAAGGAGTCGGAGCCACAGACATTTTTCTTTCTCATTATATCGAACCCTCTACAACTTAAAAAAGATATTAGTTTTACAACCAATGCTCTCATTGTAAAGATAACTGAATTGCCTTTCATATGACATACGTTACCAATTAATAAAAAAGTTATTTGTATCAGAAAAGATTTTTCAATGAATTAAACGCTAGCGGCTCCGTTTCCTTGCTCCTTAATATAGTTGTGACAAACCTGCGTCAAACTGCTGACAAAATAACAAATCATAGTGCAGAAATAAACAACAGAAATAGTAGTAGCATTATTTATAACTTATAATTGGTTTCAAGTTGGAAATATTCACTTTTGTAATTGTATTGTTGTAGCACATTTTCAATATTGACTGTCTTCAAACGAATTTGTTCAGAATTGAGAGTTTTAAAAACATTTGCTTGAACTGAATACTGCAACTTTGAAACAACATTAAGTTTAAAATCAGTAACAATTCCAATGTTTATTGTCAATAAAATAGTTGTAATAATTTTATTGGATTACAAATATAAAAATAGTTGCTCGCGCAATGTGTAACTAGTTTTATGATACAATAAAATGTTAGTATTTTTATAATAAAATGAAAGTGTGCGCTTGTGTTCTGCTGTTCACGATATTCGGTATTTATTTTGATTTCTTTTCAATAAAACATTTTTGTCGAGTCTCTAGGAAAAATAAATTAAATGCGAATTCAATACGCTATTTTCTAACATCCTTATAATCTATAAAGTCCAAAAATCTAACATTTATAGGTACCATACCTGTTTGATTATTATTATTATTGGAAAGAATTAAATTGAAATTATTGTCCTATTCGATATATTCGACATAATGTAGTCGAATGAGCAGTTTTTACTTAACTTTCCACTTTTATCTTCTTACTAGATCCTTATAAAATCGTAATTATGTTAATCCCACTGTGAACACAAATAATACGTAACTAATATAATAATCTAAATATTTACAGCTCTCATCACAACGAGCTCTCAAGATACTAACAAAGACTTAAAACTAAAAAAAGCAATCCATGACAAACTCCATGCCAAGGAAGAAAGAAAACTCAACATCGCCAAAGACCTTCTAGCAAAGACTAAAGCACTAAGTAAGGTACCTAGGTTCCAGGTCACAACACCAAGAGTAGTAACCTTCACTGGATTCATAATACAAGCGATTAATATAATCAATACTTATGATGATATCACCTTCGGAGACTTTATCGACACTTTAAATGAAGAAGTTAAAAACTATCACTACAGAGGATGTAAATTCTCTGAGCTAACCAAACACCATGATACTAGAAGGATGTTGCAAACTAAATTGAACTTGATCAGTGGTAAACCGTCTCTGAAACGAAAGCTAATATAAATGCTGTAGCTGATATACTTAGAGACGAGAGATATGACAAGAAAGTCAAAGATTTCGTTGATTATATCAATTCCTTGTACGGACCAGAACGGTAGAGAAATTCGAAAAGATTTTAAATGAATTGCAATATTACAACAAGCCGAAAACTAGAAGAATGGACGATAATATGGCAGAAGTTATAAAGGATGCGCTGAAGGCGTTAATATTCGACTACTATACACATTTACATGTAAACGCTAAAATAGAACTGAAAGAAAGAATACAGAATATTTGGAATCAAATGAAAGGAACACAAACTTCAACTTTCAACACAAAACAGTTTCATGTGTCACCTCCTACTACTAACTTTTACATATCAGAGACAGAAGATAAAGAATCCAGCAATGATTTAGAAGTAGTAACTAGTGTTGAAGCAAGAGCTAATAAAAATGAAAATACAGATCCGGAGTCAGAAAAAGTTTTAGACTCTTCTTCTAATTCTATAGAGCAGTTCCAGGAGAAACTACGTGAGTTTAATACGCACCGTTACGTAACTTTAGTTACTGAAGGTTTCGACGAGGTACATTCAGACGATGAAACGGATGAAGCCAATCAATTAGGAACCAATAATGAACCAAACCACAAAATTAAACCACAATCATCTGACGAGAACTCAAAATATGTGAAAGGTTTAGCAAGATATGCAATGAAACATTTAAACAACCACGATATTAATAAAGTATATGAGATGGCCACTGGCGAAAAGAAACATAAATCAAAAGATAAAAAGAAGTACAGACAAAAGAAGCAACAGTATTCAGTTGAAGAAGATGAAGATAATATAGGAAGGACACCTCGTGATAATGATAAATATTATGAAGCAAAGAATAATGATGGGTTAGGCAAACATTTTTCTGATACCGATACGTTTGGATATAAAAGGGCGTTTCAACCCGGTCTTTGGCGAGGAGCAAGGTAAGATATAGAACTCTTCTGTTATTGGTAGCAAGCTGTGTGACATGTAGCGCGCAAGGGGAGTGTTAGGGAGTGCTGAGAAAGTGCCAGACTGTACTGCGCGTAGCAAGCTGTGTGACATGTAGCTTTTCACAGAAAACCGACGTAAAATAACGCTTGCGTTGTGTTTCATCGTGTGAGTAGGGCTTTTTTTTAAGGGGGGAAAATCATCGAATGACTGCTCCCGCCTGGGTGAGGCGGAAGGGAGTGTCAGACTCTTACTGACTAAAAACCACCCCGTTCCTTCTCCTGCACGTCGAGCCGGAGCCCCGGTTACCCGTTAGGTTCTCCGCGACTCCGAATCGGCATCGGCCCTATTGGGCCCCATCTGTGGTGGTCTGATGGCTCTTTGAGGCGCGCGCGGAACGCGACGCGCCGTACGCTCGGGTCTGTTTCTGGTCGGACGGGGAGCCACCCATGCTCGCCGTCCGCAGGCCCGGCAGAAAATCATCCACTGTCTCCTGTCAGCTAGAGTGAAGCGAGAGTGTCAGTATGTGACTTTTACTGACTAAACACCGTTCCATTATACTCCTGCTTCGAGCCAAAGACCTGTCTGTATACTCAACTCCGACATATAAATTTCATTACAGATATACACAAATATATCGCAGAAGTGGTAGTAGTAACACCACAACAGCAGCCAACGTAAACGATGATTTAGAGAGAAGAGTAAGTAATCTAGAAAAACAAGTGCAAGAAGTTAGGAAAGAAATGATTGTTGGACACAAAGAAGATAGAAATAACAATAAAGACTCAGTTACAATTAAATCAAAGTACGATTCGAATAATAAGCTTGATGTTAGAACAGCTTTACCAACTGTTCAAATGAGAGCTGAAGCAAAAAATACTAATGCTGAAGAAGTAACTGCGAGAGAACCATTCGTAATTATAAGAAATAGAGCAGTTGATGAAGACACAAGTACAGCAGATACAAGGGTATATGACAATGGACATGAAACTACAGTTTATGATAAAACCAATGCGTCTATGACAACTAGTACAAATCTAAGAAGACGTAATTCTCCTATAACTCATCCTGCTGCAGATTATACTTATATAGAGTTGGATCCGTTTGATCATACACATGATGACTAAGAAAATAAATAGTTGTCGTTAGAGCTCATTTTCCTTTCCCCTCGTTAAGTTTATTAAGTAATATTATGTGGGCATTTCAGCCAAAATAAGGCTGATGAAATGCTATGTACTTTTTAAGATTATTTAGACATCACTGACAAACGGTGAAGGAAAACATCGTGAGGAAATCCGGGCTTATAATTTTTAACTTTAAGTTTGAAATCGCCATCCCGCATTGAGCAAGCGTGGTGATTAAAGCTCAAACGTTCACTGTGTGAAAAGAGGCAGCCTTTGTCAGCAGTGGCCACTTATAGGCTGTTCTAGTCATCTGCCAGTAACTTGAACAGCAACAACCATGTTTTACCAGTTATGTAATGAATCTATATGAAATGAAATGAAATGAAATGAAATGAAATGAAATGAAATGAAATGAAATGAAATGAAATGAAATGAAATGAAATGAAATGAAATGAAATGAAATGAAATGAAATGAAATGAAATGAAACTTTATTTGTGATACATAGGTACATTTGGTTGGTCATTTTTAGATTAAAGTGCGCTATGATCAGCCTATTTTAGGCATACAAATACTCGTATAAGAGTTTAAATCAGTAAGTCGATTAATTAGTTAGATAAGTAAATATGAATTTGTCGTGTTTTAATAAATTATATGTCAATAGTGTTCGTCAAAAAGTCAGATGAGGAAGACTACTTAATGCTTAATAAATTATAATAAATTGATGTCAATAAGTAGGTAATTAATAGATTATTGTAGTCAATACGTTATAGCTAAACATAAGTCAACAAATAAGCAAAATCAAAATTTATCCATTAAAAAATCTAAGACACTATAATAACATTTTTGACACAGTAATTGTTTTAAAGATTTTTTAAAATAATTAACATTAGCTTGTTTTAGCTCTTTAGGTAATTTATTATAGATAGCTGGAGCCATACGAAAGATACTTTTATGCATTAATGCGGTATTCGTTCTGGGTATACACAGACGACTTTCATCCCTTTGTGGCCGATTATAAGCTTCAGATAATAAAATAAAGCGTTGAGGATTTTGCTTTACAAACACCGCGGTTTCATAAATGTATAGTGATGGTAAGGTCATAAGATTGTGTCTTTTGAAGAAAGGTACACAGCTGTCAGTGGCCTTCAAACCAAACATAGCCCGGACGCACCTTTTCTGTGCCCTGAAGACAAGAACTTTGTTGGTCGAATTCCCCCAAAATATTATGCCATACCTAAGGACAGATGCTACCAGCCCATGATAAGCGATTAGTAGTGTATCGCAATTAATTTTATGTGCGAGTTCATGTAGAACATAAGCTGATTTACTCATACGTTTGCATAGTTGTTCAGTATGCTGTTTCCAAGAAATTTTATCATCAATATGCAAACCGAGAAATTTTGTACTATTTGTTTCATTAATGGCTTGTGCATTATAATTTACATTCAAATTGTTCGGGGAAGGTAACCGTTGCTTGAAATGCATTAATTGCGTTTTAGTTAAGTTTGCTTTTAGATTATTGACATTAAGCCAGTTCATGATAGAACTCAAGGTGTTATTTATATCATGTTCATAGTTGATTTTATTTGTGCATTTTACTGTAACTGTACTATCATCCGCAAATAGAGCTATAGGATTGTCAGTGGCATTAGGCAAGTCATTAATGTACAGTATAAATAGTGTTGGACCCAGAACGCTACCTTGGGGGACACCGTATTTCAGTTTTCGCTTGCATGATCGAAACGTTTCTTCTTTTTTTGTCAAAATATTAATTGTACTCAATTCAGTGTATTGATTGCGACCTTTAAGATACGATTCGATTAAGTTCAAAATATTACCTCTTATTCCGTAATGATAAAGTTTCCCGACTAATATGTCATGGTCAACGTAGTCAAAAGCCTGCGTCATATCCATAAAGATTGAGCATACAGGTATTCTATTGTCGACATCAGCCATAACTATTTTTAGAAAATCATATATTGCCATGTTAATAGTTTTATTGTGTCTAAATCCCTTTTGTTCATTTACCAAAATATTTTTACATTCCAAATAATTGTTGAGTTCTTTACATATGTGTTTCTCAAATATCTTTGATATAACTGAAATTAAAGCAATGGGTCTATAGTTTTCTAGATATTCTCTATTATCTTTCTTGAAAATTGGTTTAATAATAGAAGTTTTTAATTTGTCAGGGTATATCCCTGCTTCAATACATAAATTTATGAGGTAGCTGAAATGAGGAGAAATATTCGTGGCTATATATTTCAAAACTTTAGTACAAATGCTATCGTTACCTACACTATTTGTTGTTTTTAAGTTTCTAATAATTCGTAAGACGTCATTTGGTAGACATGGTTTCATAAACATAGAATTTTGTCTAGTGGTCATGTATGATTTATACTGCATTTTGAGTGATTCATTTTGAGGCACTATTTTATCGATAAAATAGTTATTGAAGGCATTGGATATGTCATAAGGGTCAGTTATTGTTTTGTTATTTACTTTAATACTACTTATTGTATTTTGTGGTAAGTTTAGTTTTGTTTTATTTATAATGTTCCAAGCCGATTTGCTCTTATTATCTGAATTGTTAATTAAATAATTGTTTTGAGCGCGTTGTGTTAATTTTATTACTTTTTTATACCTTTTGAGAATTCTTTTAATTTTGTTTTATTCGCGTGTGTAGGCAATTTTCTGTATTGCCACAAGAGAATGCGCTTTTTGACACTACAGACTTTTAAGCCTCGTGTTATCCAGTTGGCTTTACGGTGCGTGTGTATCGTGATACGTCTGAACGGGAAGCAAAGATCATAGAATAGTTTAAATAAGTCAATGAAGTTATTATAAGCCACATTTGGATCAACAGCCGCATACATCTCTGAGAAAGACAGTTTATCTAAACAAGCATCAAACTTTTTAAGATTTTCCTCACTATAATCTCTACGCTTAATCTTCCAGCTTTTAATCAGGCACACTTTTTGGACTTGGCACTTCAATATCTGAGCTGTGTGATCTGATAGACCGAAGTCAATTACTTCCGCTTTACATTTGTTGCGATAGTTGTGAGCAAAATTGTCAATACATGTATTGCTAATTATTCTGGTTGGCTCAGCTATTGCAAGTTTTAAATTATAAGATAAAAGTAAACATTTAAATTCCGATATGATGTTGTTTTCTTTTAAAACATTTATGTTAAAATCTCCAGCTAATACTACATTATACTTATTATAAGTTTTGTTAACATATTGGAGCAACCTTTCTAATCTTGTAAGGAAATTATTTAGGTTACTAGCAGAAGGAACTCTATACAGGCATATAATAATAATTTTATGGTCTAACATTTCTACCGCAGAGCATTCAAAAGTTAAGCACTCTGTGTGCGCCTCCAATTTCGGAACAACTTTCCAACGGTAACCTTTTCTCACAAAAATACACGATCCTCCTCTGCTAGAATTACTTCTGCCAAAGAAGGCAGCCAACGAGTAATTAGGAAGCATGCAGATATCCTCGTGGCCCGACATAATAAAATGTTCAGTAAGACAGATAACATCTACATTAGTTTTGTTATCCAAAATTTCTTGTAAGCAGATTGTTAGTGCATCTGACTTGCTCCTTAAGCCTGCAATATTTTGATGGAAAATGGTAATATATTTATGTACGAAAAAGCTTCTGAGAGACAGATTTGATTTCAGATGCTACTATACTATTATTGTTATAATATTTATGTTCCAGATTTATATACATTTTTAAATTTTTAAATATATTTGTCATGCCATTAATATTGAGAGAACCATTAGTCTTTGAAAACATTCTATAGTCATAAGTTAAATCCAAATTAGAGTCAATTACTTTTACATAGTCATAGTTATACGTACACATGTCTAGATAAAGGAGATTACAGAAAGTTTCTATTCTGCCATTGTACATAATAGAACAGTCATTGATTTTGTAGGTAGGAAGACAGAGAATTATATTAGTGTGTTGTATTTGTGTCAATTTTTCGCGGATGTCAATTATTATGTCAACATATACCTACTTTGGAACATGCAGCAAGCTCTACTAAAGACAAATCATAATGTTTTTATAGGTTTAGGATTAGGCTTTAAGGGAAACAACAAATTTCAACAAAATTATTTGTAAATATGCGTTTACAAAAGTAAAGAACTAAATATAACTAGTATCCACTCCGTGTGCACTGCTCATGAGGCCTCACTGTGACTACAAACTAGTAGAGATTTTCTCAGTATATTAACGTGACACATACAAATATTTTACACCAGCGGCTTCGCCCGCGTCGCCCAGGGTAAAAAGTAGCCTATATTTTATTAAAGACAATTATCTCCCTCTGTCCCAAATTTTATCTCGGTTCCTTCAGCAGTTTGGATGTGACTGCGTAAACACACAAAGTGACACATTTTCGCATTTATAATAGCGGTTCAAGCTAATTCCAACCACAGGCTCTACAGTTACAGCGTAAAGTCCACTGTTGGCTACCTAACATCTAACAAACTTATATTTGCGTTTGGTACAGCAACTGTGTCTAGGGATTAAGCCGCACAATTAAGTTTGTTTTTTCATGTGTATTTTGTTTTTAGGATAAAAAATACCCAGTGTGATGCCCAATATATTAAAATATAATCATTCCAAGTTTCATCGTAATCGGACTGGTAGTTTTTTCGTTCCATCCACATATACTGTAGTTACACCCCTGTGGTAAGATCACTGCATCACCATTTCTTTTGATTACAGTTGTCTCAACAGTATCCATATTTAACTTTAATTTATTACAAATTCCTTGTATACATTTTTGTCACAGGAACTACCAAAATTAATGAAACCATTTGGTATCCAGTTGGGTATATATTGATTAATTAATACTTTTCAAATATTTTCAATACAAAGAATTTTTTTTTCTCAATTCTCTCCTGTATCTTTTCTTCTTGTTCACATTGCTATGTGAACTTGTATTTGAGGATGATGTGCTACTGCATCTACGAGATCT